AGCTTATGTCTTGCTTCAGAACCCCAAAAGGGAGATTAGAAAGATCCTGGAGTTTCTGGGGCGCTCCCTGTCAGAGGAGACGGTGGATCACATCGTCCAGCACACATCCTTCGAGGAGATGAAGAAGAATCCCATGGCTAACTACAGCACCATACCAACTGAGATGATGGACCACAGTATTTCTCCCTTCATGAGGAAAGGTGTGTGCAGGCCAGGGTGGGCGGCTGCAGAAGGGAGGGTGGAACCCAGAGCCTAACCTGGGCCACTTCAGGCCACCTATGTTGGCAGGTACTCAGGCCTCCTCTTTCCCTCCGCCCCAGGCATCACAGGAGACTGGAAATCCATCTTCACTGTGGCTCAGAATGAGCACTTTGACGCCCACTATGCTGAGAAGATGGCAGGCTGCAAGTTCAACTTCCGCTGGCAGCTCTGAGTGGTGTCGTGGGGAGCCACTGCAGCGGGGAAGCGTGGACACAAGCCTGACCCATGAATGTATAAAGAACTTGAAAAAGTTACATTAAAAAAATAACCCAATTAGGAGATTGGTTTGTGACTCAGAGGTAGAGCGCTCATCTAGCATGCGTGAGGCACTGGGTTCGATCCTCAGCATCACATAAATATTTTTTTAAAAAATGTGGGGCTGGGGTTGTGGCTCAGCGGTAGAGCGCTTGCCTAGCGCATGCAAGTCCCCTGGTTCGATCCTCAGCACCACATAAAAATAAATAAATAGAACAAAGGTATTGTGTCCAACAACAACTAAAAATAAATATTTTAAAAAAATGTGTCCACCTATAACTAAAAAATAAATATTAAAAAATAACCCAATTAATAAATGTGCAAATAAACTAAATAAATGACTCTGAAAAGAAAAAATACAAATGGCCAACAAATATATGAAGAAATAGTCAACATCTTTAGTAATTAGGAAAATGCAAGTCAAAACTACATTGAGGACTGGGGTTGTAGCTCAGTGGTTCAGTGCTTGCTTAGCATGTGTGAGGCACTAGGTACGATTCTCAACAGCACATATAACTAAGTGAAATAAAGGTCCACTGACAACTAAAGAATACTTTTAAAAAACTACGTTGAACATTCATCTCATTCCAGTTAGAATGGCAGCCATCCAGAATACAAACAATAATAAATGCTGGAGAGGATGTGGAGAATGAGGAACACTTTTACATTGTTGGTGGGACTGTACAGTATTACCACCACTGTGGAAATCAGTATCAGAAGACTAGGAATGAAATCACCATATGGCCCAGCTAATCCTCTTCTCAGTATTTATCCTAAAGAAATAGCATACTTCAGTGAGACATGCATACCCATGCTTAAAGCAGCACAATTCACAATAGACAAATCATGGCACCAGCCTAGGTGTCTGTCAATGGATGAATGGATAAAGAAAATGTGGTATATAAACACAATGGAATTTTTTCAGCCATAAAGAATGAAATTATGTCATTTGCAGGACAATGAACTGTATTTAAGAACATCATAATGTTACATAATATATTAAGTGAAATAAGCCAAACTCAGAAAGTCAAAAGTCTTGTTTTCTCTCATATGTGGAAGCTGCATAGGAAAAAGGCGGGGGTGAGGAGTTCAGGGGAGGTTGATCTCAGGAAAATCCAAGGGAGATCAGTAGAGTAGGGGAAGGGGACCATGGGAGGGGAGGGAAAGGAAAGGAAAGGGAAAGGAAAAACTGTATTGTTCTACTGTATGCATCTATGGATATGTAACAATGAACCTAACCATTGTGTACACTTATAAAGTACAAAAAAAATACAGGGAAAAAGAGGGTTTAGCTTCAGCAGGTGTGGGAGTGGGTGGAGGCTCACAGGCCACGCCCTCCTTCTCTTTCCCTTCCCCAGGGACATGATCCTCATCATGCAGGGCTTTTGGTCTGTGGTGGCCGCCCTTTGGGTAAGAAAGGAGACCAGGTCTGCTGGCTTACAGGTGAAGCCTAAGGACTGTCCCCTGTCTGGACTGCCCATTGCTCTAGTCCTCCCTGCTAGCCTGGCAGCACCCACGTGCTTCACATTGCCAGAATCTCTGCCTGTCACTGCCACCACTACCCCAACCTGGCCCAAAATCATCAAGCAAGGCCCATTGGAGACAATGACCATGAAGAGGACACACAGGCTCCCACTGGGCCTTAAACAATGAGGCAACCTGGATTTAAGGTGTTTGTTGAAGGACCAGACAGCTCACACCCTTGAGTTGCTCTGCCCCCACTTGTCGCATTCCTTGCGACTAAAACACTCAGGGTCACTCCAGGGGAACTGGGCTGCACAAAATACCCACACAAGGGACAGAGATACCTTTTGGGGGGGGTTCCTGTGATGGCTCCTCTGACCTTAAGGGTCTGGAGAGAGAGAGAGAGAGAGAGCGCACCAGTGCTAACCCCTTTTATTGAGGAGAAGCTATTCAAATGAGGCAAGGGGTCAGG